GTTGCTTCGAACAAAATACAACTCTCCTAATTCCTGTTTTATCTTCCATTCTTTTTCTCTTATTCCCTCTCTATTTTCCCTTTCTCCATTGCTTCTTGTTCATATTTTACCTTCCATTCTTTTCCTCTTCTTTCTTTCTTTTCCCCTTCTCTCCTTCCTCCTTTACCCTTAAAGGGCTTCGAAGTAGACAAATTCATGTCAGTAGTGTCACTGGAAGTACACTGAAAAGTAAAGCGTTACTGGTGTGGTCGGAATGGAGATATTGCATGTGTGACGAATTTGCGATTTGACCGTTGATTCTTTTGTAAAAGTTCGCGAGAAACTTGATGATGCCACTGGTTTTCTCTGAAATCACCTCCCAAGCTCAAAAAAAGCTCTCAACTTGAGAGCTACTACATCAAGACAAGCTCTCCATGCAAAGATAGGGAGTATATACAGTAGCAGGGTTGCCGTGTTTTCAGTTTTGGAGTCCCCAAATAAAGTGGCAGCTCTGTCAGTTTATTTGCCCCCTATCTTTGCATGGAGAGTTCCTCTTGATGTAGACGTAGACTCTCAGGGTAGGGTGGGATATCCCCTCCATTTTTGCCTCAACATGAGAGCCTTTTTTGAGCTTGGGAGTTGATTTCAGAGAAAACCAGTGGCACCATCGTGTTTCTCGCGAATTTTTACATAAGAATCTACAGTCAAATCGCAAATTCCTCACACATGCTACATCTCCACTGCACTGACAATTTTAGTCTTAGGATTTTAATATACTGGGTGTTCCAGAGCACCCTCTCACTATTTTTTTCTCGGAAACAGCCGAGAATTGAACTTCAGGGCATAAACTTACAGGGGTAAATCAACCCCGAAGAATTCAATGAAAATATTCTCAGCCCCTCAAAACCTCATGGGGGGGGGGGGGGAGTCTAAGGGGGTGCCCGCGTCTCTCGCATTTTTCAAATGGGAAGGGTACGATTTGACAAAAGAAAAGTCCTAATATGTCAAACTAACTAAAGGAGATCACAAAGGATCCCCTGTCACAAGGGAAGGTCCCCAAAGATTATGAAAAACGGTCAAAGAGGGTCGCCCTCTGAAGTGGTAAAGTAATGTTCCTCGCATTGTGGCTTGTGCACTGACAAAGAGATCGACGCTTCGAATCCCTCCGATCCAACATTATTTTCAGTCATACCTGTGTTGTTATGCACGATTTCTTCTTTCTCTCTTCCAACCGTACACGTAACCTCCTTTCGCAAGTTCGCCTTCTCAGGTTTCTTTTTGCCAGTCACGTCCTTGCTTTTCTTCCATTTGTAGGCTTTTTTCGTGGCTTTTGTTGGCAGTTTTTTATTTGTTGTTTCACTTTTTCAATACTTATAACTAACTTTAATCAGCTTATAGTTTTAAGCGACTGTATTTGCTTTTCAATCCGTGGCAAATTGCTCCATGCTCGAATATTATTTCAGTTCTCACAGCAGGATCACAATCTCTCAAAGTCACTGTACTGTTTTTTATTCTCTACTTTAGTAAAAAACTGATGAAGTCCTCATCAAACTTTTCTCTCTCTCTCTCTCTCCCTCTCTCTCTCTCTCTCTCTCTAATTTTTTACATTCCCTTCAACTTTCGAGGGAACAGGGCACCTCGGGACGCTCAGGGATTTCATTTGTGTTTCCCTGGTTCCTGATGCTTTCTAATATTCCAGCTATGGATTCTTGGAAAAAGGAAATATCCAAAATTCAAACTTAAACTTTTGAATGATTTATATTTTGAGGAAACTGTCAATGTAGGTGTGGAGATGATGCATATGTTGACTTAGTATGTAATGCGGTTAATTTTAGGCTGAACTTGAAAGTTGACTCTCGTTTAAATGGAACTTGTTCATTTAAAGGGGGGGGGGAAGAAACAAAAAAAGAATAATAAATTCCAACTTGTAGCACGGCAAGAGTTAACTTAAATAATCCTGCAATGAGTGTCCTCAAAAATCCTTATCCGTCGTCTGAAATTTCGATTCGTTTTAAACTACCAGGAAAAGAGCTCTCAGCATCTAACGCCTTAACCATTTTACTTTTCTCAGAAGGTGAGATATCATCGTCAAAAAAAGCTAGACCAAAATTTTCTGGTGTGAGATACTATAGGTGATTAAGAACTTTTGATAAATCAGCCTCTGAAATTGCCGCGTCTACTTTCCTGTACTCAATAAGCTGCTTTACATAGTTTAAGTCAATGGCTGGTGCTTTGGTTAATAAAGGAGCAGAGAATCACTTCTTCACATACGGTTTTACAATGAAAATACATAAATCCCTTAAATTGGTTTTTTCGTCTCAAGTTAGTTGAAAATTGTCCCTGAATAAAAATATTGTTAACGTGTAAATGGCTTTTACCATCCACTGTGCATGATGGAAGGCCCCTGGTGTACGAATCAATTTGTTTGGAGGAAAACTAAGTTAGAAGCAAAAACTCTTCATAATCCTCTCTAGGTTGTTGAATTTTTAGCGTTTCATTAACGAACTTTATTATATCAGAATGACCAGTCTCCATAAGTTTTTTCACTATCTTATCGTTAATACCTGCTTTAAATTTACTGTGGTCTAGTTTAGACCAACTCTCTCTAAAACGCTTCAAAATTTCAACATTAGGACTGGTTGAAGTGAGCATTTTTGCCTCAAGCGCCCCTTTTAAGGACAGCTCATCAATGTGATGCCGGCATGGGAACCATTGTAACTCTCTCTCAAGTAATTGTTCAAGTATAGTGGCTGCTTTCTTTAGATGACTTAAATTGGAAGAGGTGGTATCGCAACAGCACCCTTCCACTTTATCCACCAAGTCCCACGCTAACAGTGCCTCGTATACAGCATTTGCTCCTTAAACCGTGAGCCATTTCAAGAAACACCGAAACTTTTTACAGACAACTTCCTGCACGTAGTTCGTATCATTCTCAATATTTGAGGGCAAAAAACAAAACATGGCAAAATCTGGGTCCGAGCTCCCTGCTCCCAAATTCGTCCCAATGAGTCAGAACAGATTTGCCCCATGAAGACAATCTCAAGTTCAAGTTTTATCTAATCTATGCACTACTATGCAGTGTTAAACTGACTTTTTTAGCACAATCTAGCAACACTCCTTGCATCCAAGACTCCCGCATATCGGCAATAAAAGTCACCAAAGACAAGAGAACCTTTGATGCTTCTCCCTGAGATTTTTCGCTGACACACTCAAAATTTTACATGTCCCGGCTCTTTCAAGCTAATTTCAAATTTTATCTCCATGCCCTTATCACAGTAATTTTTGCCTTATTTTTCTAATGAAAATGATGTATAACAATATTGGGTTGCTCCGGAGTAAATAGTGGGATCTGACGCCTTAGCCTCACATAACATCATATGAGAGATTTCAGAGCTGTCCGGCGGTAGCCATAAACTTTCACATATAGTGGCAGAATGACTGGTCTGAAAGTAAAAATGCTGAAGAACTTTAGTGTAGAAAATTAAATTTGCAACATTTCTCTACTGTATGCAATTTTTGGTAAGAGCCGTATTTTTCGAGCAACGGGCAATTTTGTAAATTTTTTGCCGATCATTTCAATTTCTGTCTAAAAAGTGGTGCTTGGGGCACGTGTTAATATTATAATTGGGCTCAAATTGTGCAAGGGTCATTTTTTTGATCAAGTTTAGGGGGTGGGAGCTAAAATTAGAAGGGGTCAAATTTTAGGGCCAACCTAATCTTCAGATAGGGTGATAGGCGGCAAGTCTCAGTTTAAATTTCTTCTCCAAATGGCGGCGGTTATTCTGTTAAATTCTCTAATATATTCCGTTTTTTACACCAAGAAATTGGGGCTGGGGTTCTTATAGTGGTCGAATTGACGTGAAATTTGATCGGCACGTGTAACTTAGCTTGTCAAAGTAGAAACTTAAACAAATTTATTAATCGTGCTCACCAAAAAAATTTTGAACTGTAAAACCAAAAAAATATAAGTGGTTTTACGCTTCAGTAAAAAGTGGGAGTCCCAAGAGTCAGGGGATCAAAACTGAAGGAGTCTCATCAAAGTAGTTCCTGTGAAGAGCATTTGAGTCCAATCTCATGCTCCTCTCACATCAGAAATTTTTTTTAAGAGAGGAAAATGTACTAGAGTCTTAACACTAAATATGAGACAAAACAATATAAAAAGGGGTTATGTAGCAATCCCTAAAAGTTATCAAATTTGCTGAAGTGCGGGGTTAAGGCTTTTCTTCTTTTTTTAATATAATATAACTTAATTCCGATTGGCTGTAGGCGCCATTGGGATAAAAGCCACCAAACCAACAGAGATAGAAAAAACTCAATTCCAAATCAGTGGGCTGATTGAAAATTCGAAAGTCGATTTCTTCAAAGGACATCTGATGGTGATCTATGAGCTTGAAACATACAAGGTTTGCACTTACCGCAGCATCTTTTAAAAATCATTAGTCTGCTCTAAATTGTCTCTCAACATCAACTTGAACCTATATCAAAGCTGAGGTACCTACTGCATTTTCCTCTTTTCCCGTCAGTCCATCAGGTACTGAAGCCCAAAATGAAGAATTGAAAATAGAACCAAGACAAAGCAGCAACAATGGGTTAAAATTTGAAAAAGGATTATTTTCATCAACATTATCTGTGAAAGTCTATGCTCTCTGAATTTTAAGTGTAAGATCACTTCTTTACACCAAATTGTACTACCTGCAATACTTCCAAAATTTTACCCAATTTCATAAATATTGGGTGTTATCGCTTTAATTAGTGTTTCTGTAGCAACCCTATAAAGGCTATTAAAATTGGCTGATTTCCTGCAAGGTCCCTCTCTTTAATCTTTTTGAAAACTAATAAAAACAATGCTTGAATAGAAGTAAAAATCTGTATGAATGTAGTTTTGCCATCAAAAAGCGTCTTACTCTTTAATCCTTCCCCATATTTGTCAACAATCATAGAGAGCCCAAAATCTGTCTCTTCAGATTTGTACCCAAAAATTCATCAGTTGCTTATTTCTTTATCTGTTTTTCTTTTTGCAGGTGGAAGACAAAGCTACAATAATTCCATTGGTTGCTGGGCTAAGGAAGGAAGTCCAAAATTTAGTTGCGGAAGTAAGTTCCTTTTCTTGGCAGTATTATTGGAATTTTTTCTTGTTCACTTCAAAATACCGCAATATTTTACTTCAACTCCTTGATTTTTTAGACCTACAACGCCAAGAAAGTAGGCCTTGGGTTTTTAAGACTTATTCTTCATTGGTTCGAGAAAAGTTGAAGAAGTTGAAAATAAGGACCACCCTTGTGCTGGATCCATAAAAATTCGAGTTTTTTTCTTTCTATTTTTTCTTGTACAGTTGAAAGAATAAATTTTTGTAGCACATGTCAGATGGTTCACAACAATTTATAATAACAAGTTATCTATTTCAAAATTCATCTATTGTATGGCAGGCTTTAGCAATTATCAGATTTTAGGGTTGAAATTTTGCATAGGGCTCTTTGATAGTCCCAAGGAGAGATTGCAGTTGAGGAGCACCAATTTTCGAAATTCGGGTCGTGTTAATACACCCTTTTCGATCATTTTAACATACATGAACCTTTTCAAAGTCTTAGCTTGTTGTCCTTGGCCTGCACTTTCATGATCAATGCTACAAAATTCGGAAATATTTGAAAGTTTGTATTTTTGGTGAAGTAGGACCTAGAATGCTCATTAATTGGACGTAATGGAAAAACGGAAAGAAGCACCATATTTCCAATTTTCAGTTCTTGGCGAATGTAGATGCCCTGAAAAGTTATGATCTGCTTTGCTTATTCACTGCCATTCAAAACCAGATGAATTCAAAATTGGTAAGTTTCTATCAGAAATGAATGCCAAAAGTTAAATCAACTCCCTTGAGTTTGCTGATCTCATCATAGTCCAAGATGGATTCCATAAACTAATTTTCTCGTAAATTTGGTTATTTAGGGCATGCAAATGATCTTTGAAAGCTATAAGCTGGATGGATACACCGAGCGCCTTGCAGAACAAGTCTTTAACTTCCAAGAAAAAGTTGAGGATGTTTTGGTTGTTGAAGAACAATTGGAAGGTTATGTTCGCTCACTTGAAACTTGTCCATATTCTGCCAATACTTTCTCAGAAATTTTAGCCAAAATTCAACATTCAGTTGATGATCTGTCCCTTCGACAATACTCAAATCTTCACATTTGGGTCAGCCGTCTTGATCAAGAGGTAATATATACAATCATAAAATTTTAATCTTAGTAATAAATGTGTATGAAAGTATTTACATGCATACGTGTTTAAGGTGATTCGTCAAGCTCTCTGACGTGGTGGAACTAGCATGCGATATATCGCATCAATTAGGTCAAAAGTATCGGCAGATTTTTAACTTTTAGCCATAAAGGGATGAAAGCCTCTGCACATGAGCTTAAAGAATCATTTTAAACCAAAAAATTGGCAAAATTTAGAGAAGTGAAAGCAGAATCCTGTTAGGAGATAAACCTCCATACAATACAGATATCGTTAACTGTATCGAATGCGAGGTTTTTTCCTTGCAGGATTCTGCTTTCATTTCTCTGAATTTTACAAATTCTTTGGTTTAATAGGATTCTTTAAGCTCATGCGCAGGGGTATCGTCCGTTTTTGGTAAAAGGCTCAAAATCTGCCAAGCATTTGGACCTAATCGCTGCGATATATTGCATGCCAGTTTGACCACGTCAGAGAGCTTGATGAATCATCTTAATACTCATTTTTATCCGATTCATTTCATCTTTTTCCAATGCTTATGTTCAAGAAATCCAAAAAAATACTGTAAATATGGCTCTCCAAAACTAAATTATAATCGATACAGGGTGGCCCAGACCTACCGTACCAGGCCTTCTTTCCGAAGAAAAGTGGTTTCTGCGTTCTGAAAGGAGGATGGTTGAAAAGGGAATCGACCTCAAGGAATTCGAATTTCATGTTTTCGGAAGCCTTCCGCCCTCTTGCAGGGGGTATTTTGGGAGATAACCCCAGTATCTGGAAATTGCAGAGAGAATGTGGTAGGATAAGTTCAAAAATGAAATTTACGCAAAATTTCAAGAAGAGTCCTAAAAACCGTTCTTTGAAAGCTCAATTTTGAGCCGAATTAGAGCCTCTCAAAAGAGTAGATTACCTACCCTGCTTCAGCTCCCCGCGCACAACGCTAGTTTTCTTCAAAATAAACGGAAAATCCCGGAAAAAGTTGTAAAGTAGGGTAATTTTTCACAAAAAACACAAATTCTTAGGTCCTAGCCCTCTAAAAAAGCTCCCCCGGGGCCATGTGGGGAGGGGGCCCAGGCCCCATTTATCCCCTTCGCGCCCAACCCTAGTTTTCTTAAAAATTATCGGAAAACATCCGGAAAAATTTCAAATTCAGGGTAATTTTCCATTAAAAACACAAAGAGGGTTATGCAAAACGGCCAAAAAGTGACCCTGCAGGGATTGTACGAAACTTTGTGGGATGATTGTATAGGTCATTTTGGGCCTACATCTGGCTGCTTTTAGAGAAAAACCGCAGGGAAACAGCGTTGCCATTTTTTACAGTCGTAACCTTCAAACATCCATAACTTTCGCTAAAATGCAGTTATAAAGCTTGTATTTATACCAAAATATGCAAAAAATTTTGCCCTATCGACCTATGCAAAAGAAAATTTTATTCGAGTCCACTGTTGCCACGTTTGGGCCATATTTTTAATCATCATAATTATTAAAAATCACGTTATCACCTAAAAGTGTGTTTGTAGTTGGTGGGGATTGAATAAAAACCTGTCAGAATTGTTGTTCGTTCGATTCTGCATCCATTGATATGATATACTTTTCTGAGAGGCTTAGGGAATCCAAGTTACAGCGATTTAAAGACGCCCGATTTTGACGCTCGTTTAAGTACGTTTCGAGACTTCTTGTCGAAGCAAAACGACTAGACAAAACAAAATTCGACAAATTTCATGTTTTAAGCTTTTTTGAAACTTTCATGTCATTTTTAGAAATTCAAGTAGCGGCGGTGTTGCCGTTTTTCAATGAAAACCACCGCTGCGATCACAATTGAAAGTAGTACTCATTTAATCACGTCTAGCTACATAGTTTATCCTAAACTGGTCATTTTGGGCCTACATCTGGCTGCTTTTAGGCAAAAACCGCAGGGAAACAGCGTTGCCATTTTTTAAAGTTGTAACCTTCAAACATCCATAACTTTCGCAAAAATGCAGTTATAAAGCTCGTATTTATACCAAAATATGCAAAAAATTTTGCTCTTTCTACCTATGCAAAAGAAAATTTTATTCGAGTCCACTGTTGCCACGTTTGGGCCATTTTTTTAATTTTCACAATGATTAAAAATTACGTTATCGCCTAAAAGTGTGTTTGCAGTTGGTGGGGATTGAATGAAAACCTGTCGGAATTATTGTTCGTTCGATTCCGCATCCATTGATGTGTTATACTTCTCTGAGAGGCTTAGGGAATCCAAGTTACAGCGATTTAAAAATTCGGCAACACGCCTGACGCCCGATTTTGACGTTCGTTTAAGTACGTTTCGCGACTCCGTGTTGAAGGAAAACGCCTGGTTAAAACAAAATTCTAAGAGCCAGTTCATGTTTTTCGCTTTTTTGAAACTTTCACGTCATTTTTAGAAATTCAAGTAGCGGTGGTGTTGCCGGTTTTCAATGAAAACCACCGCTGCGATCACAATTGAAAGTAGTACTTATTTAATCACGTCTAGCTACATAGTTTATCCTAAACTGACCATTTGCGACATGATGTTAACAACGTCGCCTAATTTCCGTCCGAATTCGCATAGAGGCGGGGTTGCCAGTTTTCAAGGAAACCGCCGCCGCAATCACAAAAAATGTATCACTCATTAAATCACGTCCAGCCTTATTCTGTAGTTGGAATTGTCGATTTATCGAATCGATGGTTTCTTCTATCTCTTTGCAATGGCACTGGTACCCGACAATAACGAGGTACCGATATCGTATCGAGATCAAGATCAATGGATCTAGGTCCCTTTCCAAAACTAATCATCGGACCACTCGGGTGATTCGGTAGCTTTAAATTTCGATACCTCGGCCGGCCGGTCGGTCCAGGGAAACCCGACGCAACGCGTGGCGGCACGATGCCGGCCCCAAACGGTCAAAGCGGGCACCGAGTGGACGCAGCGCGACGATCCGCGCCGTGCATCGCTCGAACGCCCTTTCCGCTTGTTTGTGGGTGAACGGTTATAAATACGCCAAAACGGACGAAATTTTGGCACTTGGGGTCTTCATTCGGCAAATTCTACTGGGAATTGACTATCCACACTTTCTTTAACGACATTACTGTAGATGGGCCATTCTGGAGGGCGCTACCGACTAGTTACCGGGGGATAACAGGCCAACTGTGCTTTACTCGTGCACGATACGTCAAAACGGACGAAATTTTCGGCCTATAGGCTCACAATTTGACAAAATCTGTGTGGAAACATGTGTTTGTACCTTTAATAAAACGGATTAAAGATTTGGGCCTTTTCGGGACTCAATTTTATGCGGCGAACGGTACTTCATATGGGGTCCGTTTGACAACTTTTTTTCGAAGTTACGCATTTCCCCTCTTAAAGTTGAAAATTTCGATCCACCCTAGCCCAGGCCCCGGGCCCCCTCTCCACGTGGCCCCGGGGAGCTTTTTAGAGGGCTAGGACCTAAGAATTCGTGTTTCTTGTGAAAAATTACCCTACTTTGCAACTTTTCCGGGGATTTTCCATCAATTTTGAAGAAAACTAGCGTTGTGCGCGGGGAGCTGAAGCAGGGTAGGTAATCTACTCTTTTGATAGGCTCTAATTCGGCTCAAAATTGAGCTTTCGAAGAACGGTTTTTAGGACTCTTCTTGAAATTTTGCGTAAATTTCATTTTTGAACTTATCCTACCACATTCTCTCTGCAATTTCCAGATACTGGGGTTATCTCCCAAAATACTCCCTGCAAGAGGGCGGGAGGCTTCCGAAAACATGAAATTCGAATTCCTTGGGGTTGATTCCCTTTTCAACTATCCACCTTTCAGAACTCAGAAACCACTTTTCCTTCGGAAGAAAGGCCTGGTACGTTAGGTCTGGGCCACCCTGTATAATAAAATTATTTCCAGTCTGACACGACCAATGGATTTCTGGCCCTGTGCCACGGCCTCCCCATGTCCCACGTCCGGAACCCCAGCAGGCGGGTCTCCGGTCCCCCCGCCGTGTTTTCCGGTCTGATCTTCCGAGGGGTAGATGCAACTCGCAAGGCTAGTTTTCCAATAAAATTTCTGTTCATGAGAATCTGTAAATCAACACATGGATTAACCTTGTTAATATTGTCGAAAGACTTGTTGAACTCATGCTGTAAGTCAACACTGCTGGATTATGGATAACATCTTGATGAACGTATTTTATTTTGTAAACTTTCTCTTTTTCTGTGTATATGTTTTTTACATATGTACATTCTAACAAGATGGCGAAATAGTGCTGGATCCACACCATTTTGCAGGGAAAACAAAGCCAAGAAATTTCATTAACTTCAATTAGGGTCAAAAAAACTTTTTGAGCTCTAATGAGTACCAGTACAAGACTGAGCAGGGAGAGTTTTCAGCTCTGGCAGCTTGCATTGGAGGATTAAGTTGAGTTCATGCTGAGAGACCTATAACATTTTGGGCTTTTTTAGACATCATCAGTAGATCACACTCGTCTGTAAACCCAACCTAGCATTCCGCAAAATCCAAGACAGCATCGAAACGCCGTCGTGAGTATGATGCAAGGCATGACACAAAAGTGTGATCCTCACGCCATCTACTGTCAGTGCTGAACAACTCCCATAACAAACAAAGAAAACCCTTTGTATTCTGATATCCATCCTCTGACCTCCGGAGAGAATTGATGTCCATTGCAAATGGTTAGCTTATGGAAGTAGAGTAAAGAGGATGTTTCATATTATCTCATTCAATACTGTGCGTAAATTTCAAGTCAAACTTTTCAATTTTTGATGGAGTGAAAATCTTTTGAATCAGGTTGAGAAAAATCTTGCGGCAAGACTGAAGGCAGGTATTGAGGCGTGGACGGACGCCTTAGAAGGAAAGAAAGTCGAGATAGATCTTAGCATGGATACTGATGCGCCCTCACAACCAACACATAAACCAGGAGGGGACCCTCAGGTGAACTCATGTTTTCATGCAAGCATCATAAATGCATGCCACTAAAATTTTTTGCATACTGTTTCCCTTTCCTCAGTTTTACTCAGCTGAAGTGGAGACATCGAAGGACCCTACTTGTGGCTCATGACCCAAGCAATCTTGGTGAAACTGGCAGTTTTTCTGACCTATTGTCAGTCTTGGCCTACTGACTGAAAGTGTCAAAGGGTGTTTCTTTGTGTCTCCTCCTTTGACTCTTGTTTAGAGGGATCAACATTTTTAAGAGAGGTGGTAGCCAGTAGCAGCATTGAATTTTATTTATTTATTTATTATACAAAACGGGCAAGTTGCCCAATTACAAAGTAATTAACAAAAAAGAGCAAAACAGCTGAACAAATGATAGACTCAACTGACAAAACAAAACAAACAAAAGTACAATACAATGAATATAACTAATAGGGAACATAGTATTTCAAAAAGTAGTCCTTGACCCTAGACTTAAACAGGTTCGTCTCCAGACTTGCATCAGCTAGCCCAGGCGACAGTAGGTTCCACCGCCTCTTTACTCTGACAACCACCGAGTAGAAACGGTAAGAAGTCCTGGCGGGGTTGTCAAATAAAGGACGGGCAACTCTCAGGGAGTAGTTGACCTCCCTCACCTGAAACAGCTGAGACAGATCTGAGCCGAAATATGACCTCCAAGGACTCTGAACGCCAAAGCGAGGTCATAGGTATGATGCCTAGACTCCAACGTCGGGACGTTCAAAGCCTCAGAGATCTTACTATAGTCGTGGTCATATATGGACATGGGCTGATTTAACTTAAATGACAAAAAACGAAGCACATGGTGCTGGACGTATTCGATTTCATCCCACCCTTGGCGTGTATGAGAAGACCATATTGGAGATGCATACGTTAGAATTGGCATAACGATGGATTTATACAGGTAGAGGATTGTACCAACCCTAAAATGCGCAGAAACTCTACGGAATTTTGAACAAAAATGAGTCCAATCAAGGCTACTTCCTACCGCTATTTGTAATGTAATATTATGTTACATTATTTCATAAATAAAATATTAACGGTCATAATTTTATTTAAGATAGATAAGAGCTGGGGCCCAAATGGGTTCATGGATTCTCAGTACCTTTTATTATCATCAGGTCCAGCTGATTCTACCACTAGAACGAGCTAAGGAGGAGGAATAAACTTATGTTTGTTTTAGTTTCGGGAAATCCATGAAAGAAGCTTGTAGGCCTCCATAAGTTGACAAGGCTGCTAAATTAAACTCAAATATAGTTGGAAAAATGAGTATCTGAAGAATTAAATTAAGAAACACATGTATCGAAGGAAAGCAAAGTTGAAAGGAAATATTGCGAAAAATCCAAGTGTAGGACAATTAAGGGTTCCACTGCACATTAAGGCACTACCTTCCTGGCGTTTTCTTTTTTATGCAATGCTATTTTTCAAGCAAAGTTGAATTAATTTCTCTAAATGAGGGAATTTTTCAATAATGGTTCTCATTTTCTCACTGTCAAAAGGGAAAGGCTTAGCTTTTATTGAATAAAAGCAGGGTTGCCACAGTCAGGGAAAACTGGGAAATGTCAGGGAAAATGACGAAAATGTTTGGGGAACTTTGTAAAATCACCTTCATTTGCTTTTCAGAATGGGTTTGAGACTTTGAACTAGAAATTTTTCCAGAAAACTATTTTCAATTACGCCTTCTTAACCATCCGTCACATCTTCAATTGTCAGGGAATTTCCTTTACTAAATTCTGTGGCAACCCTGTTAAAGGCTCTCTGTTTCAAGAAATAAACTGCAGAAACCCCAAAAAGCTGTCAGATTTAAACAGGATTGTTAGCGACCGGGAAAACCGGCAAAAGTCAGGGAATTTTGGTGCTGGTCAGGGATTTTTCTGATTTTTCGTGTTTTTTTTTCTTTCGTATAATGGGCCTGTTGCAAGGTGTGGGGTTTTGCAAATTGATATCTGGTTCCAATGGCAAAGGACTCTGCACACCTCTTATGGGAAAGTGCACCACAATGGATCTTCAATTTTTTTATTGCAATCGATTTTCTTCAAGATGCTGATCCAAAGTTATAACTGGGACAACTTTCTACGATGCACCGTTTTCGCGAAAAACGCCCGAGAAGATTCAATCATTCGGTGATAAGCGTCAGAAAGATTCCGCATTTCAGCACTCGAGTGAACGGTCGGCTGTGTGTCATCAAGGAAATCAGGGGAACTCTAGCACCGAGCGGCAATCTTATCTCGGATTCTGCACGCAGTTTTGCTCGACCATCCAAATCAGATTCTTGAGCATAAGAACAGGAAAGTCAGAGATGAACAGTGAACGTCAACCGGACGAGAGCGGGAGAGGGATAGCCCCAGAGTAGGCAGAAATAGATAAGAAGACGGACACTCGCTACGTTTTTTTCACATCAGACTTGCTCTCGAATGCCTTGTTATTTTTAACTCTTTATTGCCGAATAACCGAGGCGTTCCGGGCGTATTGAACGAAAACGGTGCATCGTAGAAAGTTGGTGCAACGACGAATGTTGATCAGCATCTTGAGGAGAATCGATTGCAATAAAAAAATTAAAGATCCATCGTGGTGCACTTGCCCATTAATGGTGTGCGGGGTCCTTTCACAAAAAGAACGATGGCGCTACGAAAAAAGCTTGAATTGACCTTGCAAATTCATAAAAGCTGTTTTTTGAAGCGACCCATTTGAAACGGTCACTTTTACGCGGGAACGGATTCGGTACACTCGTTACGTCACATCTCATGACAAACCTGGTCTTTTCATCACTTACAATGTATTTTCCCGCAAGGAATTGGCAGTCGCTTTTCAAATGCAAGTATCGAGTCAATCGATGATTTTTTTTTATCTAAATGAAATTCAAAAATGCATTTCTTGGACGTTTAAATGGCTAAAACCTTTATTAGATAGAGAAGAACCGATAGGATAAACCCTATTTTTAAGGAAAACTGTAGACAATGGGCCATTGTTTATATCTGCCGTAGTGATAACAGACATGCACGCTAGCCCAAAATTTAGTCATTTTCATGAGTTTTTACTTTCTTGTCACTATTTGAAGGTAAGTTTTTTTTGTAAATCAATTGTTTAGTGCCTTAAGATCATGTTAAAAGCTGTAACGGTATACATTGTTACTTATTAATTCAGAACACACTCCGGCAGTCCAACGCTCAAACCATGGATATTCTCTCAATGCGTGTAAATCATTCTTAACTCTTCAACAAACATCTTCATATTATTCAGAACGTTCGCACGTTTTATACACTTATGTTACTTTAAAATTCAGTGTGTTTTTAATGTAACACCATGCAAAAAAATGTATTGATAAGTCTGGTAAACGAAAGCGGTTGCCAATTCCTCACGGGAAAATACATTGTAAGTGATGAAAAGACCAGGTTTGTCATGAGATGTGACGTAACGAGTGCACCGGATCCGTTTCCGCGTAAATCTGGATTTTCAGGCGTTTTTAAGTTGATTTGTTGGGGGTTTCCAGTGATCAAAAAATTCCGGGAAAAGTCCTGTGACATCAGGAGGGTTAGTTCTTTCGATTAAAGCTATGAAAAAAATGGCGCAACAGGCCCATTGGGTGCGGGCGGTCTCAGGCTCGAGTTGCCGGGTCAACTGACTACTGCGTTCGATTGCGGAGAACGGCGGCGCTCTCGCTCGGCTTCGCGAGGAACTACCGGCGCATATCTCGACCATCGCGTCGCGTCGCACATTGGTTCCAGCGCCCGATCTAGGTGGCTTTAATTAGAATATCACCGATGATGACATGTAATGTAAGTCTCCAGTGGGTTTTTTGGGTCACACTCACTGATTACGAATTTGTCGTCAATTTGACTGTATCAATGAGCATAAGGTGGTAAATTCGCATTTAACCTGAAACTCCATACTTAATACTAAGCACATCAATCATATTTTAACATGGCTGAACGCCTGGACTGATATATTCTGCAACTTTTTTTGATTTATCATAAGAACTTTCGATGATTATACAAGGATTTGTTCTCTGATCACTAATTTTTTTTTTATGGGGGGGGGGGCAATGTTGTATAACTTTATGAACCAGGAATTAGTGTTATCTGGTAAGATCTACCTCATAAATTTTGTGGCTATCCTGAGGAAAATCAGTTCCAGTACCAAAGCAAACAGTTTATCCTACTATTCGAGTTGTTTAGACGATGTTGACAAATCAGTGAAAGAAAAACTTTATTTGAACTTCAATGCTCTCTGATCTACTAATTCGCAGCGCTTTAAAGTCAACAGGAATTTCTTAGCTTTGTAATCTAATGGTACAATTATGCTATCAGAATTTTTAATAACAATGAATTAAGAGTCGATTTTCGTCACTAACTCAAAATCACATTTAAATTCAATAGATACGGAAATTTTAAATATACATTGAAGATATTTTACTTGAACAAGAGGAATATCCCCCCCGCCCCCCCCTGAGGAAGGGGCAAAAATTTTGACCCCCCTAAAAGATGGTTCCCTTTGGAATAAAAACATTCCCTAAGTTTCGTTCTTCTATCTCTTAACGTTCAATAGTTACCAGGGGGGGGGGGATTACGGACTTTTGGGACACCCTGTATGTATTTCTTATGATCCTTTTAGCACAACAGGCCTTAAAATTTGATCTTGAAGAAAATCAGGGTTGGTAATCAAATATTTTGTCTCAAGAATCCATCATCATTCTTATCCTAAAGGGTCCTATCTAATGCGTTTCTCATATCTTTTTTCCATTAGATCGCAGCCTCTGTATACGAAGTGAGAATCACAAACCAGATCATGTACTTGTATCCAAGCATTGATGAAGCCAGGTTCCAAATAATGCAGCAGTTTTTTGCCTGGCAAGCTGTTGTCACTTCCCAGACTCGTCTTCAAAGCACTCGATATCAGGTTAGTGGTGGAATGTCAGAATATTTGGCATAGAAACATGGGAATATGTAGTTACGCTCACTCCTGAACTTCGCATTGAAGCCTTCATTCATCCTGATACAAGTAGAGATGCTATTTTCTTCCTTCATTGGCTATCAGTTCGGCCCAGAGTGAGATGTTAGAAACGAAATCTAATCATTCAATTAATCTTGCAAACTATGTCCAATGTTTTGAATGAACGATTTCAATAAATATAAGGCATTTGCCTTTTTTTCTTTTTATATATATATATATATATTAAAGAGTTCACGGTTGTAATAATCAATAATTAAACAAAAATCACGAGTACTTTCCAACCTTTTTATTACATTTTATATATATACACACACACATCGGGAGAAAATATTTGCCTCAAAACAGTGATAGTCGAGTGTGAGCAAGATTGATAACAGTCCGGCGAATTTTTTAGGTATGGACCTCATTATGCAGTGAATCTCAGATTTTTTTATGTGCTCATCGTAATTCTTGTGAGATTTTATGCTTACAAATTACAAGTTTGTATATTCATCTGCATCTCTTTGGTTCCATAAAATAATTCTTAAACACTGGTAGTTGGTATGCTGACAAGAAGAGATGCTTAAAAAATTGGAAATGTGAATTGTGTAGCTGCTATTCAATTACTGTGCGTGCAAGCATGTGAAAAAAAAGCGCACTGGCTGAAGAGCAGATCTGGGTTGTAAGGCCAGAAAAGAACCGGGCTCTCCAAGGGCTTGAAGATGCTGACTTGCGCCTGACAGCGGGCAATCACCCAAGCCGAGCACTGGTCGCCTGGCTTGTAGGCAGTCCGCGGTGAGTGCAGGATGTGCTTCTTTTTGTGCTCGAGGCTCGGTGAAGACCTTCCAAGGGATACCTCAAGGGCTTATTTAAGCAAATCGCTTTTGGCATATATCACTGCAGAACAATTGAACGTTTGCTCCATGCAGTGCTGAAATCTTTTCAAACATAGGAGTCAGTCAACAGCTCTGTGGCTGGACAGTGAAGTAGCTTGATGCAAACCGGAGCCCTACGCTGTGTAGCCAATGAGGTAACTGCTCTACAGGTCTTTATCCAAGATGCGGTAACCGCTTCTGGTGTGGTGACAACGTCTTGTTAATTATTCTGGTGATACTGAAATGATTAATAGGAGGTGAATCTGTTAAGCTGGAACAGCTCTGCAGGATAGTACTCCTATCAAGCGAGTGAGAACTCCAGCACTGGTGTATGGTGGATCACATTTCTCATGGGCTGCACCACACTGCTGGGAAGTGGTCTAAATCTAACGACTAGAAAATGCCATAGAGTCACAATAAACTGCCAGTGAAGTCAATCCATGAATGGGAAATTTTAAGCCCCTTGTTTGCCGTAAAGTGTGGACCGAGTCTGAACCAAACAGCATTTTTTAACACGGCGGCTTATGAGAGAATCGCGAGCTATCAGTGGTTTTCGAGATTTATTAATTAAATTGATTATTATTTTTGCGAATTTCGGCTAACCATGTAAACCATTCACAGCTGGTCTTAACGACTTTAAATTTTTTGACGAGTCACAAGCAAGAACTCTTCAGATTCTTGAAGTAGAGTGTCTACTGAGTCATTTAAGCCAAAAAGAAAAAAATTCTGTCGAGCTCCTGGAAAATAAAGTCGATTTAAAGGTATTTTTGGGCTAAAATAGCCAAATTACCCATAGCAAGGCCCGTCATATTATTTAAAAACTTGTTTTCTTCCTGGGTATAATGCCCAAGTTTCTTAAACATGCATATTTTAAGCCTCCGATTACTTAAACTACCAATTTTAACCATATGGTAAATTTTGGGGGCCTAAAATGAGCCCTCAGAGCCAAAAATTGCAAACATTTTTGAAAACTTCGGATTTCAGGGGGGTGTTTTTTTTTTAACGTTGTTTTTTCTACAGTCGTCAATGAGTAATTCTGAAGGGCATTTTCGATTACATAATTGAAATTTTGACTGTTCAGGTGAAGGGGGAAGGGGGCACCAGGCTTTGCTTTGCCATTCTCACAGTTTCTGAAAACGCTTGAAAATTCCCTATTACATTGGAAGTCCAAAATATCCCTTTTTATTCATTGATTACTGTATCTGATATTATAAAATATGCAGCAGGAGTTACTGCCCCCCCCCTTCTCCTCACTACGCGATGCATGGAAACCTTGATCTCACTGCGCGCGCTACGAAAACGCTTGAAAGTTCCCTAATACATTGGAAGTCCAAAATATCCCTTTTTAATTCATTAATTACTGCTTCTGATATTATGAAATATGCAGCAGGAGTTACTGCCCCCCCCCTCCTCCTCACTACGAGATGCTTGGAAACCTTGATCTTACTGCGCGCGCTAACGGATCCTTGCTTTTCGCGGGATGGCAGTCCGTTGCACAGTAGATCCGGGCATTTGCAATAAAACATTTGGCGGTCTTTAGCATTACATATAAATGGACATGTTTATGCTACAAGTTTATCCTGCAAATGCCCGGATGCGAAAAGCAAGGATCCGGTAGCGCACGCAGTAAGATCAAGGTTTACATGCATCTCGTAGGGAGGAGGAGGGGGGGGGGCAGTAACTCCTGCTGCATATTTTATAATATCAGATACAGTAATTAATGAATAAAAAGGGATATTTTGGACTTCCAATGTAATAGGGAATTTTCAAGCGTTTTCAGAAACTGTGAGAATGGCAAAGCAAAGCCTGGTGCCCCCTTCCCCCTTCACCTGAACAGTCAAAATTTCAATTATGTAATCGAAAATGCCCTTCAGAATTACTCATTGACGACTGTAGAAAAAACAACGTTAAAAAAAACACCCCCCTGCAAATCCGAAGTTTTCAAAAATGTTTGCAATTTTTGGCTCTGAGGGCTCATTTTAGGCCCCCAAAATTTACCATATGGTTAAAATTGGTAGTTGAAGTAATCGGAAGCTTAAAATATGCATGTTTAAGAAACTTGGGCATTATACCCAGGAAGAAAACAAGTTTTTAAATAATATGACGGGCCTTGCTATGGGTAATTTGGCTATTTTAGCCCAAAAATACCTTTAAATCGACTTTATTTTCCAGGAGCTCGACAGAATTTTTTTCTTTTTGGCTTAAATGACTCAGTAGACACTCTACTTCAAGAATCTGAAGAGTTTTTGCTTGTGACTCGTCAAAAAATTTAAAGTCGTTAAGACTAGCTGTGCATTGTCATAACTAATTAAAAAATTTACAAAACTCCCGGTTTTTGTGAAATAAATTTTATACCTGTATATTCTGAGCGGAGCCTGGAGCTGGGAACCTGCGCATAAGTCATTGTTACATGCGCACACTAGTCTCAGGAGTACTGCACAAAGCAGTCTCAAATAGTAACTTCATCGGCGTCCCAGCTCATTCTTGTGACTCCATTGTTCTCGATGGAAAATGCGGCAGAACGGTCTAGAACGGGCGCGCGATTGTTATCTCGCGGTGACCGGTGAGGCAGAGCCGCGAGATAGGGCTTGTGGATCGCAGAGGATCGTAGCCGCGAGGTGAAGGAGGAGAACGTTGGTCGCGGGGAAGAGCGCGCACGCGGCGCGGTGCCGGCCGACGATGATGCCGGCGATGGTTGGACCCATGTCAGCAACTTGAACAATTACATTCATTATATTCTTTACCAATTAATAATAAAATTAGTTTTAATAAAGTCGTGTAACTGGTAAGATTTGAAAGTTACAAATTTTTCAAGGACCAAGGCATATCTCTAGGCAGGTCGTCTACATCTTCCAAGGAGGAGTGTTAAACAAGATAATTTATGAAATTAATGTTAAAGAATGCATGAAGCGAGTACAGTTCCTGTATAGAAGAGAAACTGAAGATTTTTAGACTTTAAGTGAGAGTAGTACAAAGGTCTATACAGCTCAGCCTAGGTCAGAATAAAGTTTTCAGAAAGTACTTCATATATTTGAGAGTTTTTCAGGAGGTTCTTAAACCTCAATTTTAGTCAGGAAAAGTCTTCATGGAATCCTGAATTTTTTTGAGAATTTCAGTAGTTACTGTTCTTTAGATCTCTTTTCTACCCAGTTTTAATATCTGAATTTCTCATCACTTGTTACAGTCAACCATCATTAGATCGAATTCTTTGCCAAGTTGAATTTTATATTATTATGCTATCGAATTCTGTTAGACTAATGTTAACTACCTGAGCCTAACTCTAATGGCAAGTGATTAGCATCCGCTAAATTTGAACCAATTTCTTCCATTAGGAGTTTTTTCTCTCTTGTCCTCAACTATTTCGATTAAATTTGAGCTCAGGGGAGGGCTCTCTTAAATATTATTGTATCTACTGTACGTCTCAGACAAGCCAGGGTGAATCATTGTTTTTCAATACTAAGGAGGAATCCATTTGCATCTGTGCAGACTGCAATGTAAGATAAGCTTAAACCTGTGCAAAAATCTTCAGAGATTGCGATAATGTAGAAAGATAAATTAATCGTAATTCAACTGAGTTTGTGCTGCAGCGTTAGTGCAAGCATGATGATGGAACACAGCGGAGAGAGATAGCAGAAAGAGGGGTGGGGGTGAGATGTGAGTCTTGTATCGTATGCTGTGGAGCACACCTCTGGTGGAGGGTCTAGGTGGAGAGGAAATCAACAAAACAGTGAGCGTCTAGTGTTTGTTTGCTCACAACACCGGTCAACATGGGTTCTGTCCTTCGAACCAAACCAATTTTTTCGATTCCCAGTTGCTGAAGAAGCCCGAAAATGGCACATATTAACGTCAGGAAAATTAGCTGGTCCTCAGGGCGCCGCCATTTTGAATTTTTCAAAATTGAGAAAACCCACAATTAGATTTTTGCAAATATCTCCTCAATGGTTCATCTCACGAAAAAACAAAATAACCAACGGAAAGAACATACAATTTCCTACCGAAATCATCCTCCTTTATTTTTCTAACTTAATTTTTTGGTCTTGAAATTAACGTTTTCTTAAAAAATTAGCTTTAAGAGGGCGCATTTTTGCTGATTTTAGGAGAAACTTTGCTTCACACCTCCAGCCTCGATTATCTGAGAAAAAAACTGTTATGCTCATTGAGAAGAGCATAATATTTACTTCTGGAAAACGTTTATCAATAGTTCCTATACTTGATTTAATCCTGTGAAACAGCAGTTTATTAGCTCCGCCCCATAAATGTGATTTTTTCGACCATTTTTCCTAGAATAAGGAAAAAAAAAAAACCCTAAAAACGTGACCCGGACTGTGTAAAAAGGTGGCAAAATAGTGCTGGATCCACACTATTTTGAAACCAAAACCAAAAAGTTCCAAAATTTTCAATTGGAGTCAAAAGTTTTGAGCTCTAATGGATAACCAGTACGGCATTACATAACTGCAGGGGAAGAGCGTTCAGCTCAGGCAATTAGAATTAGAATATTAAGTAGAGGTCACAGCGAGAGATCTATAATTTTGGGTCTTGTTACAGACCTCGTCAGTAGATCACACGTCAGTGAGATCAAAAGCCAAAAAAATCAAAAATTTTCAAGCAGAGTCAAAAATTTTGAGGTCCAATGAGTATCAGTACGAAACTTGCTGTCTTGCAATAACAAAACTTGTGCTTCGAACTTGAGCTTTGATGCCGCCTTGGATTTTGCGAGATTTTCAGTTGAGTTCACATGACGAGTGTGATCTACTGATGAGGTATAAAAAGACCCAAAAGTATAGATCTCTCGACGTTACCTCACCTTAATATTTCAATGCAAACTGCCTGAGCTGAACACTTTCACCCCTCAGTTTTGTACTGATACTCATTGGAGCTCATAATTTTTAACTCCGATTGAAAATGTTTGAACTTTCTGCCTTTGTTTCACCCCCCCCCCCCCCCGAAAATGTCTGAAATTTTTGGCTCTGCCCCCCCCCCCCCCCCAAATAGTGTGGACCCAGCATTATTTTGCCACCTATTTACACAGTCCGGGTCTCGTTTTTAGGGTTTTTTTCTCTGTTTTTCGTGATTCTAAGGAAAATGGTCGAAAAAATCACATTTTAGGGGCGGAGCTAATAAACTGCTGTTTCACAGGATTAAATCAAGTATAGGAACTATTGACATACGTTTTCCAGAAGTAAATACGAGGGTCATCCAAAAAGTAAGTTTCCCTACCTTGTATCTTCCGAACGAAAAGAGATAAATCAAATCGGCAAAAAAGCACATATTAGGCATACTCTAAGCTTTAAAACAAGCCCAAGTTTTTGAAAATCGGTCCAGGGGTTCGCGAGTAAACTTAATTTTACTGAGACAACCTCCTGTCGCCGCGTGCCCACCTCCGGGGTCAGGATGCGCGGGGAGTCGATTATGGGAGACTCGGGTTATCGCCTCTTTACATCACATCAACAAGGAATTTTAATGTTTTCATTGAGTAGGCCTTACTAGTAGTTAGTAGTAGTTATTTTACTTTTTGACGTAGTCTCCATATCTTCTTTGACATTTTTGGAATCATTACAGCAACTTCTTGACGCCCTCCGCGTAGAAGATCTCGTCTTGGCTCCGAAACTAGTCATTGACAGCGATCTGCACTCCCAAATCAGTTGCTTTGCGTAGGGAAATTTTCCCCCAATCCTTCAAACTTTCTTACTTTAGCTTCATGTGACTTTCATTTGTTCCCGAGCGGAAAAACTTCCACGATGGAAGCGATTTTCAACCGATTCAGAGGTACAGATCGCTGTCAATGACTGGTTTCAGAGTCAAGGCGAAAACTTCTACGCGGAAGGCATCAAGAAGCTGCTATGATAATACCAGAAATATCAAAAAAGATGTGGAGACTATGTCAAAAAGTAAAGTAAGGCCTACTCAATGAAAACATTAAAATTCCTTGTTGATGTGATGTAAAGAGGCGATAACCCGAGTCTCCTATAATCGACTCTCCGCGTATCCTGACCCCGGAGATGGGCACGCGACGACAGGAGGTTGTCTCCGTAAAATTAAGTTTACTCGCGAATCCTTTGATCGATTTTAAAGAACTTGAGCTTGTTTTAAAGCTTAGAGTATGCCTGATATGTGCTTTTTTGCCGATTTGATTTATCTCTTTTCGTTCGGAAGATACAAGGTAGGGAAACTTACTTTTTGGATGACCCTCGTATTACGCTCTTCTCAATGAGCATAACAGTTTTTTTCTCAGATAATCGAGGCTGGAGGTGTGAAGCAAAGTTTCTCCTAAAATCAGCAAAAATGCGCCTTTTTTAAGCTAATTTTTGAAGAAAACGTTAATTTCACGACTAAAAAATTAAGTTAGAAAAAATAAAGGAGGATGATTTCGGTAGGAAATTTTATGTTCTTTCCGTTGGTTATTTTGTTTTTTCGTGAGATGAACCGTTGAGGAGATATTTGCAAAAATCTAATTGTGGGTTTTCTCAATTTTGAAAAATTCAAAATGGCGGCGCCCTGAGGACCAGCCAATTTTCCTGAAGTTAATATGGCCATTTTCGGGCTTCTTTAGCGCCTAGGAATCGATAAAGATTGGTTTTGGTTCGAAGGACAAATCAAAATCAGATATTTGTTGTGCTGTGCAATCAGTCACTCTGTGCAAGGGAGAGCGTACCTACAACCGCTGAAGTCGTCCACTCTCAGCATTTCATTCTTGCAAGCATGATAAGTCACGTGTCTGATGCAAGTAAACAAAAAGGAAACAGCAAAATACTTCATGTTTTGACATAAGTGTCTACTTTTGCTGTATTCGGAATTCACTGAAGTAAACTTAGCCAGTTGTATTGTAGGGGTTGCGGGNGGGGGGGGGGGGGGGGGAGAACGAGCCAAACACACGACTTCAGCTAGACCAGGAACCTCGCTCCACCCAGATCCAAAACGCAACTCACTGCGGAAAATTGCCCGGGGCGGTGTCCGCACTCTAAGCCGGAAAACCCGACGATTGATCGGTCAGCAATTTTGGCCGAACAATCGTCACTTTTTCGGGCTGAAGACGGCCACGATCGGACATTCTTTCCGCTAAATTCGATGCAAAGACAAGTCACATCATGCAATCCTCAGCATTTGCACGGGTGTAATGCCCGCGCGACCCACTTTCAGCCTGCCTCTGGCTTGCCGTGCGTCGCCTGAGCGCACCACCCACGACGCACTGGAGCTTTACACCAAAGTTGGTTGGAGGGTGTTTGATGGGGTTTCCAGAATCTTTCGCTGAAAGATCCTGGAAACCACCACAGTGTTCCTTGACTCTTCACCAAATTGCTATGACATTTGCGTTTTTCAGTGACAACTTTACCCAAGGAATGGTAGCTAAACTCTGTTTTCAAACTCAAGCTTGGTCCTGTCGCATTTCAACTAAAGAAGGGTTGACTGTATGATATATTTTTGTTTTTTGATTAATACAAGATCATTTTTGTTTGCAGTTTGGCCTAGAACGTCCAACTTCTGTTACTTACCGCAATCTCTTAACGAAATTACCTGGAGGATCGGCTGTTCTTGAAGCAGCTTATAAGGCCATCCATAAAAAAATCAAACAGGTATTACAAACTTTACGGTAAATGGAGTCTGAAGAAACAACATCTGCAATTTTGTCCTTGGATTCGTAGATTTTGTTTCATCAAATAATTAACATTTAATTCTTTTTTTGCCGGTTGCAAGCAACTTTAAAATTCAATTTGCCTTAAATTGCATTCTTTGTACACTTCTGAATAGTCATAAAACTCACATAGTAGTACTGGAAATTGAGATTCTCGCATTCACAGTACACTCTGTCATAAACATCAGACAACAGCTGTTCAAAAGCTTTAATTTGTACATTTACAACTGTCAAAATCAAGAAAAACACAAAATCACAAGAAAAAATGTGCTTGGTTGAAGTAGTTGTGTGTATGAAAATCAAATTATCGACAACCCCTAGAAGCGACAGTGTGCATACTGTGAATCACCAAGTCCTTTTTTGCCTTATCGTGTTGTGTTTAAGAAAGTATCATTCCTGGATCATATATGAAAGCAAGAACAAAGAATTTATGCAGGCAGTGCCTGCAAGCTCAAACCGGGAGTGCACAGAATTTGTGTCCTCCAAACTTAATGGCTTGCGTCATAAAATGTTGCATACTACACCTACTAATAATCACTTATCATTTTGATTTTAAATTATTTTTTCCTTTTGACTAAGCTGTCACTAAAACAGCAGTGCATTTTGCGATGGAGTAGTTTTTTCTTTGTGCTGAATTTCCATCATTGAGATTACAGCTTCTCTGTTTCAAAAGAGAGGATACTGTTTTGAAATGAAAGTGCCAATCTCTAGTGCTTTATTATCTTTTAAGCTCGATTTTCCATATTCTGCAAAATTGTCTGATGTACTCCTAGGCTTTGTCCTCACTGATTAAATTTATGTTCTCAGGGCTTCAATTTTTAACCATTTTCAAATTTAGCCTCCGAGATTCCCCTCAGGATGGAGGGGGGGGGGATTCTGGGAAATTTAATGTATCATTAACCTTTTGTCAAGTGTGTTCAATGATGCAGCCCTGCAAATTTTAGTTCATTTCTTGTGGAAATATGAAAATCCCCCAGACTCCCTCTCTGAGTTTATATTCATATCAAGACACCTATCAGATATGGTCACATAATGCCACTGTGACATCTTTCCACATGAAATGAACTAAAATTTGCAGGGCTGCATTATTGAACACACTCGACAAGAGGTTTATGATACATTAAAAATATTCCTTCCTTGCACTTTCATTTTATGAACCACATTGTAAATGTATATTTTATTTCTTTTTAAGTACGTTTTTATCTGGAAATTGTTAGCAATCAAATTTTCCTTAAATCTCTCATTTTACTTGTACTTTTCTCCAATTCACAGATGACAACTTACATGGATGAGTGGCTCACATATCAGTCATTGTGGGATCTTCAGCCAGAATCACTGTATGGAAAACTGGGTGATGACATCAGCCTGTGGATGAGATGTTTAAGTGATGTTAAGTAAGTAACCACAATAAATTTGTTTTCCATTTTCAAAACCCTTTGCTGATCGACAAAATTTAGAAGTGCTGCAACAGTGATCCCAAGCGTACGGATATCCGTACCTTGCGGATCTTTCCTCTTTCCGGACAGGGTACGGACAAAAACCTTACAAGAAAACCCTTCCCTTTCTTAAAATTTCCATACGCCTGACGTCACAGAATGATGAAGTAGCCAATAGCAGCATGGAGAAAGGCAGAGCGTACGGATCTCGCACACGGAGCACCTGGGAACACTGTGCTGCAACCACCTCTGAAAAACTAGTCTGCTAAAAAATGATAATAATTTTTGGTACATAAAGCTATCAAAAGAATTAATACGGTAAGGAGATCCGCATCCATCAAAATCACCCTTACAAGGACGCATTCATGTTATGCATATGTAGGCACCGCGTAATCAATTTTTTATGGCTGAAATTCCAACTGTTCTTTCCTTGTTTTCATCTTGTCTGGCTTGGTCCTTATCATGGCTACCCTCCACCACCTTGAGTAAACAGTTTTCCAGACATTTTAAATTGAAATTTACCAACCTCTCTCTTAAATTAAAACTTTAAAATATTTAAAAAACTCATACTTTCACTAAGAAATTATATGTTGGACGCGTTTCAGTGGCTACCCGGGCCACCATCATCAGCTGACTGCTGACCTTGCAATCTTTTTGGTCGGTTTACTGTTGACTATGCAGGCGCGCTGGTTTCCAGTGTTTTCGTAGGCAGGCGGGGTGTACGTGGTTTAAATACTTTTTTTGAAGGTAAAGATTGCAATAATTGATTTTGGAGGCACTCTAAATCAGTGTTAATTAATTTCCCTTTATTTTTAAATATCTGGATACTTTACAAAATATTATGCATGCTGACTTTTTGAGCAGTTCTTATCAGTTTTGGCTCAAAATTATTATTGTGCCCTTCCTCGATGACAAAGAGCTTGATGCAAAAACGGCTTTTTTCGCCCCCCCTCTGGAAGTTCTTCAGACTTTGTCTATTGATTACTCATACTTGAGCGCTTCTTTTCCCAAATTTTCAGACTCCCAAAAAATTTTGGGGGGGAGCTAGGGGGGGTGAAAGTCAAAACCTGTGAACCTCGATATCTCTTGAACAAAGAAAGATATCGAGGTCCGGTTTGGACGAAAAATCGTGTAAAATTGCATACTTTAAGATTCTAAAGATCGAAATCCCGATATCACATTTTTAAGTCAACATATGTGCTTTTTTCCAGTTTTTAGGTCTAGAAAATTTCTTTTAAACGAAAAATTTACAAAGATCTCAATTTTTTATTTGAACCAAAACCAGTTTTTTAAATTGTTCGTCTTTTTCCGCATCCAACGAGTGGTCCACCATTATAAGCTGGGGAACCCAACGGTTCCGGAGTTATGATCGATTGAAGTTTCCGCTCAACGCGCGCCGACCGATTTTCGCGCGCAAAAAAGTCGAATTTGACTGTTATTAGATCAGATTGAATGTTCAAACTGAGCAAAATGCTTTATTAGGGACTCTTGAGGGTCGCTGAGTTCAGAAATTACAGATACTTCCAAATAATATACGTTTTTAAAATTACGGCTCCGCAGCGCTATTTTAGAGGCTCACTGAGCGCCGACCGGTCGCTCAGTGGTCCTGTCCGAAGCTACAATTTTAAAAACGTGAATTTTTTGGAAGTATCGGTAATTTCTGAACTCATCGACCCTCAAGAGTCCCTAATAAAGCATTTTGCTCAGTTTGAACATTCAATCTGATCTAATAACAGTCAAATCCGACTTTTTTGCGCGCGAAAATCGGTCGGCGCGCGTTGAGCGGAAACTTCAATCGATCATAACTCCGGAACCGTTGGGTTCCCCAGCTTATAATGGTGGACCACTCGTTGGATGCGGAAAAAGACGAACAATTTAAAAAACTGGTTTTGGTTCAAATAAAAAATTGAGATCTTTGTAAATTTTTCGTTTAAAAGAAATTTTCTAGACCTAAAAACTGGAAAAAAGCACATATGTTGACTTAAAAATGTGATATCGGGATTTCGACCTTTAGAATCTTAAAGTATGCAATTTTACACGATTTTTCGTCCAAACCGGACCTCGATATCTTTCTTTGTTCAAGAGATATCGAGGTTCACAGGTTTTGACTTTCACCCCCCCTAGCTCCCCCCCAAAATTTTTTGGGAGTCTGAAAATTTGGGAAAAGAAGCGCTCAAGTATGAGTAATCAATAGACAAAGTCTGAAGAACTTCCAGAGGGGGGGCGAAAAAAGCCGTTTTTGCATCAAGCTCTTTGCCACCATCATGTTTCATCCAAAATTCTAAAACCAGTTAAAGAAAATTTTCAAAAAATATAATCCAAAAGTAGCACCCATAAATAGAAACAACATCACACAAACATTTCAATCGTTTTCTAAGGACAGAATACCAAATGAACCAATGTCCGGGATTTACAAAATCCAATGTAATGACTGTGACAGAGTCTACATTAGTCAGACCCGAAGGACCATCAGACGGAGGGGGATCAAACACAGAAGAAATTATCTCAACAGAGAAATAGACATATCAGCTGAGGCCAAACATTTTTGCGAGGAAGGGCATAATATTAATTTTGAGCCGAAACTGATGAGAGCTGCTCAGAAAATGGGCATGCTTAATACCTTGGAAAGTTTCCAGATATTTAAAAATAAAAGGGAAATTCATTAACTCTGATTTCGAGTGCCTCCAAAATCGGTTATTGCAATCTCTACCTTCACAAAAAGCATTTGAACCACGGACACCACACCTGCCCACGAAAACACCGGAAACCAACGCGCCTGTGCAGCCAACAGTATGGCTATCAAAAAGACTGCAAGGTCGGCAATCAGCTGATGATGGTGGCCCGGGTAGCCACCAAAACGCATCCAACATATAATTTCATAGTGAAAGCATGAGTTTTTTTTTTTAATATTTTAAAGTTTTAATGTAACAGCTTTTACTGTTAAAATTCGATAGTTTTATTAAATTCAACCTCTCTGTTCTCAAAAAGTTTTCCATACATACCGAATCCAATTTTACCAATTTTCCTCTTTTCTCGCACATTTCCATCCTTACTAAGATATTGAGCTGTCTTCTGTGATTGCATCAAAGTAGCAGCTTTCCTTTTTGTTTTCAAATTGATGCACTGTTCCAAAATAATGCATAGCTACTGCTAACTGGGTTTTTAATTTTCCCCTGCTCTTCTGAGTTCAGTTCACAGTTTTTTACTGTGCTTTTTCCATTTGTTTCTATTTTGTTCCCATTTCTTTTGTTTGTGTGTGCTGTTTTAAGAGATTTATTGCTGATTCCATGCAGGGTGATCCAAAAGTCCCTTCCACCCCCTCTAACTTTTTACCTAATTGAGGTAAAGATTTGAAACTTGGGGGATATTCCTAGGTCAAAGGGAGCTACTTTTTGGTCCCCCTCAAATTTTCAGGGGGGCCCCCCTTGGGGGGGGGCAACGGCCCCCAACTTCTAATTTTCAAATGGAGAGACCCCCTTTGTGAAAACTCGTTCGAAAGAGCATGAAAAAAGAAAACTTTTCGCGCAAACCCAAAGTCAATATCTCAAACCGTTTCAAAATGGCAGCCGGTTAAAGTTCAAAATGGCCGAAAATTCACACCGGTCATTTGTCGATGGATTTGCGCGAAAATCGGTATGTAGGGGTATTTTGACACGAGAAAAACGAATTTGACGTTAGATTTTCTAAAAAACCGAAATTTCCAAAATGGCCGCCAGTTAAAGTTCAAAATGACCAAAAATTGTTTTTTTCATAAATCTAAGTTCAAATTTGTTTATCTTATGCCAAAATACTCTCAAATTCCACGCTTTAGGCAAATCCATCAGGAAAAAACCGAGGTGAAAATTTTCGGCCATTTTAAACTTTAACCGGCGGCCATTTTGGAAATTTTGGTTTTTTGAAAATCTAACGTCAAATTCGTTTTTCTCGTGTCAAAATACCCCTACATACCGATTTTCGCGCAAATCCATCGACAAATAACTGGTGTGAATTTTCGGCCATTTTGAACTTTAACCGGCCGCCATTTTGAAACGGTTTGAGATATTGACTTCGGGTTTGCGCGAAAAGTTTTCTTTTTTTATGCTCTTTCGAACGAGCTATCTCAAAGGGGGTCTTCCTATTTGAAAATTAAAAGTTGGGGGCCGTTGCCCCCCCCCAAGAGGGGCCCCCCTGAAAATTTTAGGGGGGCCAAAAAGTAGCTCCCTTTGACCTAGGAATATCCCCCAAGTTTCAAATCTTTACCTCAATTAGGTAAAAAGTTAGAGGGGGTGGAAGGGACTTTTGGATCACCCTGTATTATTTAGCATCAAAATTTTCAGCCATAAAAAAAAAGGACAATTGACCTTGTAAATGAAATTTTCTATGAATCGAGAAGTATTCTGGAACTATGTGAACACTTTGTACGACTTGATTGAGACTTTGGGTGCAAGAAAGGCACTTCTTGGAAAACCTTGTTCCAGGATATGAGGGATTGAAAGTTTTAATGTCATTCCCAACAACATGTTCGGCACGATGTTGTTCAAAACATTAGCCCCACCTATATGTATACAGGGTGTCTGGAAGCTAAGTTACTCAACTGTCAGGACCTATTTTCGGCTCAAAATATGACTTTTTTCTCCTATGCACACATGTCCGAAAATGCTTCATAGGTTATCTATGCACTGTGTTTTCTTACAGCCCTTGCAGTAAACCTACCCAATAGGAGCTTCAAAAATCTGAAACTTTCAAAGCTCTCTTGCTTCGTAATGCTGGAAAATTGTGTGCATCCCCGCTTAATTTTTAGGGATCTGTAATCTATTTTTCTAAGTATCATCTACCAAAAAAGTTATTGCAATTTGAAAATTTGGGAACTCTAGTTACATAATTTTCCAAAAATGCACACCCTTGAAAACACAAAAAATGAACACTACGCTTAAAAATAACCCTCCCTCCCCCCCTCCAAGTTGTAGCTTCTTACGACAACATAACAAGGAGTTACATCAATTTGAAAGAAAAGAAATGGTATTTTCAGAAGCGCTTAGCTCACTTATGAAGCGTTCTTGGGTTTATTTGTAAAGTCAAATTTTAGTCTGAAAATCGATCCTGAAAGGTAAGTACGTCAATTTTTGGACACCCTGTATAAGTCGTATAAAAGATAATGATGGTTGCCATCCTTATTTGAATGTAATTTTGTGATTGAAGTAACTAATTAAAGCTGCCGGATGAAGTGCTTTTTCTGCATAAATTGAGACAAGCCATTTAGAATTAATGTGTTTTCTCTGTCAATTCAACTTTCTTTAGATGTATTGTGTCCTTTTTCATACTTGAATTGAATTACAGTACATATGTTACGCACCGATCGTGTAATTGCTCAGTTCATGAATTAGGCAAATTGGCAGGACGGCTAGCTGTTCACTGGCTATTCAAAACAAAACATTCTTTAATAGAACGTAAACAAGAGATCACCTCCAGTAAAGGTATCTATGTGCGGCACCTAGATAAGCGATAGAATCTTGATAACCGGGCTACTGTACTGTCGTCCTTTCTCTAACCTTTTAACCAAATATTCAGCAGTTGCCTCGTTCACGAATATCGGCACATGCCCCAATTCACGAATTGGACAATTACACAAATCGAGTGTGAGCGTTTTTTCCAATTTTTGCCCAATGCGTGAATTGGGCAATTTCTTTCTGCCCCAATTCATGAAATAGGCAATTTTGGTGCCATTTCACAATTTGGGCAACAACATTGGCCAATTCATGAAATGAGCAAAAATCTGCCCAATTCATGAACTGGGCAATTACATGATCTGTGCGTAACACATATATGCTCTTTTTGACTCATTTTCCCTCTAAAACCAAAAAAACAAATCATACTTTGGCAAATATCTTTCGTGCATCGACGCAATATCTTGACTGTCTGGATGATGAGTTAGAACCAATGTATATTTGTAATCAGAAATGGTACTCTTAATAAAAATATTTGCAGTTGAGGTAGGTAGTGAACTTTGATCTCATTAATACCATTGGCTGGCTGTGAGCGGCTGCTGCTGATGCTAGCAGTCAGATGGCGCACCGGGCGATTGCACCTGCAGTGCCAATACATAATCAGATGAGTCCCAAGAGATGCATTTACTTACCTGATAAGTTGCTACTTTCTTCTATAATAGTTCATCGTGTAATAAATTACTATCTGATTTAATTCGTATTTTGTGCAGTGTTAGTGAAGGGTAAGAAGAATGTGTAGACCTGATTAACTCGAAAAGGGCTCTCCTGAGAAAGTTCCGTTTTTGCACCCATAGCTTCATTCCTCAACAGTCAATCTTTTCATGTTAAAGTATCAAAGAATTAATCCTACTTCTATTTTTATTTCAGAAAAGCGAGGACGACATTTGATACAACGGAAACGAGAAAAGAATTTGGCCCCTTTGTGATTGATTATACCAAAGTTCAAAGTAAAGTAACCCTCAAGTATGATGCTTGGCACAAAGACACCTTAAGCAAGTTTGGTTCTCTTTTAGGAAATGAAATGTTTCAATTTCATACAAAAATATCGAAGGTAATATTCTTTCTTTCTGAATAACCTTTTATTTCTCACAAAAGTGGCTCTTTTTTCATTATTTTGAATGGTTTCAAGATTACCGTTTCTTATTTTGTTATTTTTCTACAGTAGCATTATTAATTAATAATTTATTTTTAGGCACTCGCATAGAAAGAGTTATCAAGCTTATTAAATTGAGGCAAATATAAAAACAATCCAATGCTCCGATAGAAGCCGCAAAAAGGAACTAATCACAGGGTGAGCGAAAAGTCCCAAACCCCCCCTCCTTTCAACTTTATATCTGATGGAGGTAAACATTTGAAACTAGAGGGACATACATAGGTCGAAGGGAGCCACGTCTTTCGGCTTTAAAATTTTCAAGNGGGGGGGGGGGGGGGGGGGGGGGGCTGGAAAGGATCTTAACTTTTTCTTTCAAATGGAAAGACCCCCCTTGTGATACCATATTTGAAGACACATAAAAAAAGAAACATTTTCGCCTAAATCCAAAGTAATTATCTCAAACGGTTTTAAAATGGCTAAAATTGGCGGTTTTTTGTTGATGGATTTGCCTGAAACTCGGTATCTAGGGGTATTTTGACTTGAGAAATGCAAATTGACTTTTGATTTTTAAAAAACCGGAATTTATGGAAAAAATTTAAATCCCCCCCCCTCCCTGCAAGGGGACTGCCTTGAAAATTCCAAGGGGATAAAATGTAGCTCCTTTTGACCTAGGAACGTTCCTTATGTTTCAAATCTTTACTCCTTTCAATTAGGTATAAATTTAGAGGGAAAATGGTGAGTTTTCACTCATCCTGTATATAGATATGATTATTTATATTCTTCCAGCATGCAGGTCAATGCCTCTAATGTGGCAGAATTTCTTGAGTGTCAAGAAGTATCTGCCTAAAAGTTCAAAAACATTGTATTAGCATAGGGAAATCCTAGAGACAATCTCACAATGATTCTCTGACTGTCAAAAATCTAGAAGGTTTTGAAGACCTACTGCATAGAATAGTTTTTAAAGATGCATCTAGTGTATGACCACCATCAATGTTAATGTTTGCAATTGACTGATCAATGATGCAGTTTGTAAGTAGGGGGCTTGGATCGAACATAATTGTTGGCAGAAGTTGCCTTGATAGAACACAAAACCTCAGGAAATTATCAGTTTAAGTCAGGTTGCCAAAAAATAGGTTTGTTGGAATTTTGTTTTAGGCGTAAAGCTTCTTTTTAACTTACCTCATGTATTTTGGGTTGCTGAATCCGAGTGTAAAGCTTCCTCACACCAATCTGATGAGCATTCGTTGCCAGTTTAAATGGCTTAAAAAGGTGTTTTCCTCAAAATAACAGCTTTACGTGAAAAAAAATGGGAGTCTAGTTAATGCTTTGAATAATTTACTTAATTTGAAGGAACTTGGCATTTACATATGCTGGGTTTTCTTAAATAACAAGGGAGTTACAGTATTGTAAACATAGCCCCACTTTACGTTTTGAAGCGTTCCTGTCAACGCAGTGTGGCTTTCTGCAGTGTGGAAAGTTCCGACCAAAAAAGCATGAAGGAAGGGAAAAAACAGCTGTGCTTGCAAAATTGCAGCTAATTCTATCAGGCACCTAGAATATGGGAAGGACAAAGTTTGTTGTTGAATTCTGTCGTTTTACCATCCCTTTAGACCCAAGTAGATCTTATGTAACCCCAAGAGAATGTCTTGAGTGTCAATGCAAAAGTTCAACTTTTAATGATAGGTGATAGCAGTCCCTTATTAAATCCTCACAAAGGTCCAGAGGTATTTAGAAGATGTAGGAATTACTACATTTTCCGTATTTACTGTTAAAAAGGAAGCTGTGGTAAATAATAGAGGCAGTTTTTTTTAGTATGTTTACACTTTCAGAGTTATTCAGAATGTCATTTTGATATGATGATAGTCAAGAGCCTCTGATTCCATATATAGGAGCTATATATATGAGCAAATATGAGAATAGTATAATTTTGGAAAATGTAACTCCTTGCTTTCCTGGACGTCTAACTTCTTTGAAAATTGATACATTTTCTTCTTTGATTTCAGTCTCGTAGTGAATTGGAACAGCAAGCAATTGAATCAGCAAGTACATCAGATGCTGTCTCATTTATTACCTACGTTCAGTCATTGAAGCGCAATATCAAATCTTGGGAAAAGCAGGTAAATTTCTTTGCAATAAGTTACCTCGAAAGGGTATCCCAGGGTAAGGGCACCAAAATGCCCCTCCTCACGGATTTTGAATTTAATTGTCTAAACCCTTTCAGAGGGTCCAAAAAACATGGTTTTGGGCAATTTATACCTCCTAACCCCCACCCCCCCCCTCCAGCCCCGAAAAACCCATTTTTCAGGGAATTTTGGGGTATATTCAAGTTTCATTCCATATTACCCGCATTTATCGATGAAAATGCACTAAACTTTCACCTCATATACATCAGACCACTCAGCTTCTTCGGTAAAAAAAAATCAAATTTATCGAATCATAATTAGACCCCTTAAACAATTCGTAAAAATCGTAAATTTTCAATTTTTTCAGATTTTAGCTGTTACAAAAACGAGAGCACAAACATCCTTTTTGTTGCCTTAAAATGTACGTAATATACCCAGTTGTTACCAAAAAAAATTCAAGCCTTCATGCATGGTGCGTCCCACCGAAAAGATGGTGTTTTTGGTGCCAAAAAGGTCAAAATGGCTGGCTCAGCAACGGCTTACTCGCTGGCTATCAAGATTCTCGGAATTCTCGGGAAACTCGGTCTCCGGGTGCAAAATCGCTATTTCAGTACAGTGCCGATTTTACTTTTACATGAAAAAATGAATAATTATGATTACTTGTAATATTTCACTTTACATGAATAAAATCGCCGTGTTAATATGAACCACTGTCCTACATTAAAAAACCATCTTCGTACCATGGCCCTATAATGACTGGTCTTATACGACCTGCATACCTCATCTAATCACCAGAATTAAAAATTAAAAATCGGCACTGTACTGGTGATTGTATGAAATATGCAGGTCGTATAAGACCAGTCATTATAGGGCCATGGTACAAAGATGGTTTTTAATGTAGGGCGGTAGTTCATATTAACACAGCGATTTTATTCACCCAAAGTTAAATATTACAAGTAATCATAATTATTCATTTTTTTATGTAAAAGTAAAATTGGCACTGCACTGAAGTAGCAATTTTTCACCCAGAGACCAAGATTTCTTACAGGAAGTACCCGATCGACTTAGTTAGGCATACTACTCAAATGTTGATAAGCAAACAGTCTGATGAGTCGTTCGATCATCTCAATCGCTTGCCAGTAACCTCTGCCGAAATGGCAATTTTGACCGTTTTAGTGACAAAAACACCGGTTTAACACGTAAGACCAGGGACTTGATTGACCTGAAACCTTTTGTAATAAGAGTAGAGCATGATTTTCAAACGCTTGGGAGAAAAAGTAGGTGATTTTGCTCGAAAATTGTAAATGACTGTGACCTCTATTGGAATAGCTGTTTTGACTGTTTTGGCGCCTAAAACCGATACTTAACGTAGGCCACAAGGACTCGAACGACTTGAACCTATTCTAGCGATACTAAGGTATGCTTCTTGAAATATTGGAACCAAAAATTAGTGATTTTGTCACAGAATCTTGATAGTGCGCGAGTAAGCCGTTATTGAGCTAGCCATTTTGACCATTTTGGCACCAAAAACACCATCTTTTTGGTGGGACGCACCATGCGTGAAGGCTTGAATTTTTTTTGGTAACAACTGGGTATATTACGTACATTTTAAGGCAACAAAAAGGATGTATGTGCTCTCGTTTTTTTAACAGCTAAAATCTGAAAAAATTGAAAATTTACGATTTTTACGAATTGTTTAAGGGGTCTAAATATGATTCGATAAATTTGATTTTTTTTTACCGAAGAAGCTGAGTGGTCTGATGTATATGTGGTGAAAGTTTAGTGCATTTTCATCGATAAATGCGGGTAATATGGAATGAAACTTGAATATACCCCAAAATTCCCTGAAAAATGGGTTTTTCGGGGCTGGAGGGGGGGTGGTTGGATTCGGGCGGTATAAATTGCCCAAAACCATGTTTTTTGGACCCTCTGAAAGGGTTTAGACCATTAAATCCATAATTCGTGAGGAGGGGCATTTTGGTGCCCTTACCCTGGGATATCCATTAAAACAAAACTTCCTTTTCCCTGTCAATATAGTTTCGCTCATATGCTCCCACCGCTTATGGCAGTAAAGTGTCCTTTCACCCAATTAATGATAGCAACGATGATAAATGGAAGGCTTCAGTTGATGGAGGAATCACTTCAAGACTCGAATAATAATAAAGCTCAGAATTAGAGTTGAAAAGTTGAGATAATTGCAAATGGTTTCTAAGGAATTGCTGGACACTCCCCCTGTTAATTTCAACTCAGAAGTTGGAACTACCCTCATTAATAAGATGATTTAAAGTTACATCGAGTTGACCTCATTTGAAGGGGAAAAAGTTGGAAGTGGGACTTGTGACTTTTAGACACCATGTAATGTGGTCTCTACTTCTATAATATTATCTAGCTCAAGCTATTCAGGGCACGTGCAACGTACCCCGAACACCTAGGCAGAAGGTTCTCTTCTGGGTCCAAGGTCATCCATCTCGAAGATGACTTAATGGCTGACTTTGCAAGCTGTCATGAAACGGCAATGTCTAGTCCCCTCTTCGGTTTTGTTATAATTTATTTTTTTATTGATTACTTTTTTCACTTTAAAATTAATGAAAAAAAATGTCAGTTTCTTATAAAACAAGCGTGGCGATAGTGTTTTTAAATATTCTGAATCCAATTGCGCAGGTTTGATAAAACCTATCAGTCCCATTAAAGGCACATTTGTCCGTTGATAAATAGATTCCTGAATCAAAATTTGTAAAAAAGTTTTCTCAGGTAACTTCTCCAGACAACGTTTTATGAAGTATTTCTTGGTGTGAATCATCATCCACACACCTCGTTTTTCAGAAGGAGGGGGAGCAAGTAAAACTGGGTATGTGTGGAACAGGACTTCTGAAGAGTTGGGAAAACAGAAGGAGTGGAGTTAAAAAAAAACTTTAGGAAAAGTATTAAAATAGCAGTCATTTTTAAGAAGGTAGCTAAACACATTGAGTGCTAGAGGGAGCCTAAACGAAGTTAAGCAAGCAAGTAAAGCATCTGACAGGCTAAGGATTGATGTTGTCTAACTGCTTCAGTCATTGAGAAAATTATAAAAAAAGATCTGTCGATTCTCTCTCCGGCTACGCAGCAGTATCTTACTTCATCTCAGGCATTGCGATTACTGCAAGGCCACACGTTTTTCTCTTCTTTTGGGTAAGTAAATGGAAAGTTAGTTTTATGAATTTATACAATACCGGTTTTCTTAGAGTTTTTCTTCATTGCTGTTTAGGCTGGATTCATTATTTATTTGATTTGTTCCTAGGTTGAGGTTTATCGTGAAGGTCAGAGAATTTTAGAACGGCAGAGGTTCCAATTTCCGAACAACTGGCTTCATGTTGATAACATAGAAGGTGAATGGGGTGCTTTCAATGAAATTATGAAAAGGAAAGATTCTTCAATACAGATTCAGGTAAGTTTTTTTCGCCCCACAATTATGCTGTCTATCCCTTAAAAGATCTTAGCCCCTAATTTTGGGTTTTACTGATCTCATAGCCAAATTATGCCAACGTCTTAGACTTGTTAGAAGATGAAGAATGAAAGCTATAATTCATCCTTTTTCAAACATTGACTACAGAAAATTTTTCCGCAAAATCGTAAAATGCCTTGTTAGACACCAAAGTCTGTAATCAGCTGTTGATAAGAAGAGACGTCCCACTCTTTGTACAATTGAGGTGTCCCTTGTGCCTGCCCATTGAGTAACTTGAATCAAGTGAAGTGAGTAACATGAATGTTCTAATGGACTCTGATGTCAGAAACTGCCCAAGAACCGGAATGGTGTTGTCAGTTCTCCTTTAAAATTGAATAGTCAGTTAAATCTTTTGTCAGCAGACTAAAATGATATATGTATAGCTTCTGACCCAATGTCCTGCAGCACCAGCCCCCTCGACTAGATCCAGTCTGCTATTATGCACCTGCGCTGGCGTGTCTCCCAGTCGCCTTGCCAACATGATCCTCTATCTAAATCCATAAAACATCTCCAGCGATTAGAAATTTTACATTTGCATCATCCATCTCAAAAGTTTCTTCAGGCACCTCCAGTCCATCGTTAAATGGGAAGTAGCACCTGAAGACCATCAATGTATCAAAATCCAACGAAGCGCCTGCCTAGTTTTGAGTTGGAACAGGGTCCCAGTTTCGTGCTCGACTCTCTCACCACAATACAGTTGTCTGTATCCCTGTACCAGATGGGAGACATCTTGTTCATATTCGATTCCAATACCACCTCAATTGTAACGCTCAGCTCCTCTCTGAGAATACGTGTTTATATTAAATTCATTTTAAGTTGTTTTTTCGGTTTGCAGCTCTAGCATATCTAAAATTGAAATTTACCTCAGGTTCTGCAATTTAATCATTCTTATAACTTAAGGTACAATTTATAACTTTGAATACATTTTTTTCAAAACTTACTTTGGCTTCATGTCCCTGTTTTCCATCCACGTATTGAGATCTAATTGACCTCAAATGAATTTACAGGTTCAAAGTCTTCAGATGAAGATCATAGCAGAAGACAAGGCAGTAGAAATTCGGACCAATGACTTCCTGTCGGATTGGGAAAAGAATAAACCAGTGCGAGGACAGCTTCGTCCAGATGAGGCGCTGCAGCAACTTCAGATATCTGAGACCAAGTTCAGCAAGTTGAAAGAAGAGAGAGATAATGTTGCCAAGGCGAAGGAGGCACTTGAGCTTCAAGATCCAGGTAGTTATGTGTAATTAATCTCACTGTAAAATAGGTAGTCCTAAAAGCAGTATGTTTCTCAATTTCATATGAGGGAGAGGAAAGGAGCTGACCAGTAATTTGTGCAGACTTGGAAAACCAACTTTTAAAAACCAACTCTTCGGCTTTTAAACAAATCCGAGTGAAGCTGATTTGGTTCAAATTTCAGCTAATTTAGGCATTTCTGGAATAGTTTGTCTAGAACTCCACAATAGAGAATTTGCAGGTGTCTGAGAAGTTATTTCATTTCACGAGCGAAAATGAAGATTACAAAGAAAACTGAACATAAGGATGTACTGCAGCTACTTCAGCGGTACTACTTGAATTGGACAGAGACTGGAAGTATCATAACAGAATGATCATATCTTCTGAAATACACTACATTAGATGAGAAATACCCCTCTATAACATCACTCAGAGCATATTTCCACTCTTTTTAATCATTTTCCTTGTGCCTTTGGTGTCAGGAAAAAAATTGTAAAAAAAAACTGTAAAGCCAGAATATTTAGAACTTCCATAAAAAGAGATTCAATTTTCCTGTGCAAACCCTTTGTTACTCTCGAACATTTTTTCAGGCAAAATGAAACAGGAATGATTGTAAAGATCCGTAGCTGAAATCATTTATAGATATGGATTTTATTTTTTGCTATAATAACATCTATTCATCGCAACAACTTGAACATCTCCTCGTATTCCAGGTGGTGTTAGTACAAGTGAAGACCGGATGATGGTTGTGTTTGAAGAGTTACAAGATCTGCGTGGTGTTTGGTCAGAATTGAGCCGCATTTGGACGCAAATAGATGAAATTAGAGAAAAGCCGTGGTTGTCCATTCAACCACGCAAGTTGCGGCAACAACTTGATGCACTCACTTCACAGCTGAAGGAATTGCCTGCCCGCCTGAGACAATACTCTTCATATGAGTATGTGAAGAAACTTCTTCAAGGGTATACCAAAGTAAGGAATGATGTACATCTTATTTTTTAATAAGGCTTGATTTGAACAACACCATTTTATTTGTATGTGAATAAAAACCAAGGTGTTGTGTTTAATATTTATTAATCACTGAGGTACCTTTTGGCTAACGCCATCTTCAGAGTACAAATAGGTACAAAGGACGACGGACCGGTCTTACGGGAAAAGTGGGCTCGGTTATTTCGGCTGCGCTTTTGATATGTTGTAGGTCTTAACCTACTGATCAAAAGTGTCAATGGGCATTTCTTCCTATCTCGAAGTTTTATCCCCCATTTTGGGGGTCAAAGTTGCCAAATCGGCGTATAATTGGTAGTTATGACACCCGGGTTTGTTGGTCGCCTATAAGATTCTGTAATGGTTTTTTAAGTCTGTTGTATCCTCTGAATAGGCTAGAGACCATCCGAATTCAAAAACTGAACAGTTTTGCCGAATGGGGAAGAGGGGGGGGGGTATTTACGCCACCGATTTCAGTGTCGGCGAGTCGCATTAAACCGATTCTTTCGCCATGTTTTGGAGAATTTTCTATGCAAATGTTTGCGACTGCATCTTGAAAGGTCGACTAAGATGCAGCTCAAAATATAGTCCCGGAGGGGGGGGGGGCGGCGGCAAGTGCGCCACCGAACTCGGGCAGCGAAACCGGCTTGCGCGGGTTGGATCAAACCGATGCTTCTACCATGTTTTGGAGAACTTTTTACAAAAATGACTCCGGCTGCTTCTTGAAAGACTGACTGAGATGCAGCTTAGAACATACCCCCAGGGGGGGGGGGGGGAGTTCGCGACCGAACTCGGGCAGCAAAACTGGATGCGCGAGTTGCATTAAACCGATGGTTTCGTCATGTTTTGGAGACTTGCTTATCCCAATGGGGCCGACTGCATTTCAAAAGGTTGACTGAGATGGAGCACGAAGTATGCTGTAAGAGAAAGGAGGCCTCTCAATCCGCACCCTCCGTCGCAATAGGATCTCTCAGCACAGGTCAGTGTGGCACTGACACATAGTATAGTAGTGGCACTTTTCCGATCCATATCGATGTGGCCAATATCGATCCATTTTACAACTAGCAATGAGATTATCCACGAATCAGCAATTAATCTTCGTTTCTGGAGAGTACGTCCAAGAGATAATTACCCTAAATGATAGCGTTACGGAGGATGCCACATTAAATTGGATGTAATACACAACTACTAATCATGCAGTCCGTGGGAGGCAATATATGCAATGCAATAAGTTCTGAAGGTATTTGACCGGTTCTGGTTTATTCATTCTTTCTACCGGAGCTCCATTAGTAATGGATCAAATCCTGGAAGCTCTCAGTGCAGTTGAAGAGGCGAGCTCACTGAGATTTTTCTACTTAATCAAAAAATCTAAGAAAAAAACAAGGTCATTTATTTATTCTTTTTAATATTTTTTTTTTCTTTTCAAAAGCAACTAACCCTTACCCTCACCAAAATTCTGAGATGCATCAGGATGTGCTGAAAATTGAATGATGCGTTAAATGTTACTAAGTTTTAATCGTGCTAGCAACGTTAAAAAGTGCCACTTCTATACTAGTGTCAGTGCCACACTGACCTATGCTGAGAGATCCTATTGCGACGGAGGGTGCGGATTGAGAGGCCTCCTTTCTCTCACAGCATACTTCGTGCTCCGCCTCAGTCAACCTTTTGAAATGCAGTCGGCCCCATTGGGATAAGCAAGTCTCCAAAACATGACGAAACCATCGGTTTAATGCAACTCGCGCATCCAGTTTTGCTGCCCGAGTTCGGTGGCGCACTTGCCGCCGCCGCCCCCCCCCCCCTCCGGGACTATATTTTGAGCTGCATCTTAGTCGACCTTTCAAGATGCAGTCGCAAACATTTGCATAGAAAATTCTCCAAAACATGGCGAAAGAATCGGTTTAATGCGACTCGCCGACACTGAAATCGGTGGCGTAAATACCCCCCCCCCTCTTCCCCATACGGCAAAACTGTTCAGTTTTTGAATTCGGATGGTCTCTAGCCTATTCAGAGGATACAACAGACTTAAAAAACCATTACAGAATCTTATAGGCGACCAACAAACCCGGGTGTCATAACTACCAATTATACGCCGATTTGGCAACTTTGACCCCCAAAATGGGGGATAAAACTTCGAGATAGGAAGAAATGCCCATTGACACTTTTGATCAGTAGGTTAAGACCTACAACATATCAAAAGCGCAGCCGAAATAACCG